TGCTATTTTTTTCCTAAGTTGCTGAGATGGGAGCTTATATTTATTGATTTGAAAGTTTCCCACTTTTCAGATGATGTATTTAGTACTGTACATTTCTTTTTTTGTTTGTTTTTTAAAGTTTATTTATTTATTTTGAGAGAGAGTGAGCAAGCAAACACAAGCAAGGAAGTGGTATAGAGAGAAGGGATAGAGAGAATCCCAAGTAGGCTCTGCAGTGTCAGTGCATAGCCTGATGCGGGGCTTGATTTCATGACCCATCAGATCATGACCTGAGCTGAAATCAAGAGTGGGACACTCAAGCAACTGAACCACCAGGCGCGCCAGTACTGTACATTTCTCTCATGACTGCTTTAACTCCCCCCATGCCCCCCATTTTGCTGTGTTCTATTTACAACTTAATTCAAGTCAGTATATTTTTGATATCCCTTCCTCTTTGACCCATGGATTATTTAAGAGTGTGTTGTTTTGTTCCCAGGAGTATGGCGATTTTCCCATTATTTTTCTGTAACTGAATTTTTCTGTTTCTAGTTTGTTTCCATTGTTTTGGAGAACATACTCTGTGATTTCACTTCTTTTAAATTTGTTGAGGTTTGTTTTGTGGCTCAGGATATGACTGTTTTGATATTTGTTGTGAATGATTGTGTATTCTACTATTTGCTGGAGTGTTTGAAACATGTTGATTAGATTGTGTTGGTTGTTCCAATCCAAGATCCTGTGGGTAGATCCAGTGGTGTTGTTGCATTCTTTTGTGTCTTGTTGTGTCAGTTGTTGAGAGAAATGTTGAGGTCTTCAACTGTAAGGGTATGTAAATGTCCTTTTCTCTTTTCAGTTTTTTTTGTTGTTGTTGTTCACATATTTTGTGGTTTGGTGCATACACATTTAGAATTATTATGTTTTAATGGTGGATTGACAATTATCTCATTAAAAAAATTTTTTTTTAAGATCTACCCTATGACTCAGCAATAGCACTGCTAGGAATTTACCCAAGGGATACAGGAGTACTGATGCATAGGGGCACTTGTACCCCAATGTTTATAGCAGCACTCTCAACAATACCCAAATTATGGAAAGAGCCTAAATGTCCACCAACTGATGAATGGATAAAGAAATTGTGGCAGTCAA